TTATGGTGCGAGAGGCGGCTTGCACACACACACACACACACACACACACACACACACACACACGTGCAACTTACTCAATATTCATGTGCATCACCAGGCTGAGAGAGGAGTAGCCACCCAGGGCAAAATTTTCCTGGTACCTTCCCAGCCGTATGGAGTCCAGCCATTCTTCCACGGAGCTGCAGAGGGTGAAATCGATGTGGCTCCGTTCGGACAGCGTTTGGCTGAACCTGCACACACACACAAAAAGACAGGAGGGGTGTGTGTGGGTGTGAGTGTGTCAGTGAAGGGTGGGGGGTTGTGTTTTATAACATCCCGCGTTGCGGGTTGTGTAGATGGTCCCTCAAACTCCACCTTCGAGCCTTCTAAGTGTCCGGAGCAGGACACAACGATGTCATCTGCACCGTGTGTCGAAATTGGCGGGAGGATTTTTGGGGGGGGCCTGGACTAGATGACCTCCGAGGTTCCTTCCCAACTCGGTTATCCTGTAAGAAAGGGTCTCTTGCCTGAGTGGGGGGATGGGGGGGTGTGTGGACTAGATGACCTCCGAGGTCCCTTTCCAACTCTGCTCATTCTAGACGAGCCTTGGGTTCAGAGTTTGCACGCTGGGGAATACGCAGCCGCGACAGGCCGTTGTGTGGAAAAAGGGCACCAAGCGGAGAAGCCGAGGCGGGCTTCGTTACTGGGGATGGGGCACCACCAGGAAAGGGGACAAAGTAGACGGGGCAGGGCGGGAAAACCATTCAAGAGACGTGAGAACGGGCAAGGGGCGCTCTAGTGTCTCGTTTCAGGAATCTCTTCGCCGCTGCCAATTCGCCACGGCGGACTCGCCGCCGCTGACTCCCCGACGTCCAATGGCTCGCAGCTGTATCGTTGGCGACGGCCCACTTACCGGTTGAGCGTGGCGGTGCATTTTAAGCTTTGAGGGTTACGGATGAGTTTGTCCAGGATGTCCAAGATTTGGGAGAAACGCGGCCTCTCGTCCGGTTCTTTCTGCCAGCAGTTCAACATCAGCTGGTGCAAGGCCACGGGGCATCCCATCGGAGCGGGCAACCGGTAGCCTTCCTCCACCGATTGGATGACCTGCAAGGAAAGGGTTGTTCCCAACCGGTGAATCGGATGCCGGAGAAATCGGTGGGGGAGGGAGGGGGGAGAAAAAAAGTTTAGGGGGTGCGTGGACAGCTCTGGAGCTTCAAATCCAACACACGCACGCACACACACACACACGCATGCATGATTATAGGCCCTTCTCAAGCTTACGTCCTGATTGGTCATGTTCCAATATGGCCGCTCTCCGTAGGCCAGCACTTCCCATGTGACGATGCCGTAACTCCAGACGTCGCTAGCCGACGAGAACTTCCGGAACGTGATGGCTTCGGGGGCCGTCCATCGAACAGGGATCTTCCCCCCCTGGAATACAAAGCGGGTCTGATGAGATGACCTCCAGGGCAGCGGTCGCCAACCCAGTGGGACGAGGACCACTGGTGGCCTGTGAGAAAATTTGGGTGGTCTGCAGAGAAAGGTCACCCCCCAAAAAGCAATTCATCCAGGCTGCGCGGGAACACAAGGCTGCGCCGCTCACATGGCCTGCGGGAACGCAAGGCTTGCGTCGCTTGCATTGCGAACTTGCCCCACGCGCTGGGCTGCTTCTTTCCGCTTCTTTCTTCTTCTGCTTTTGGCTGCACGCAAGGAAAGCAGCCAAAGTCTTTCTTTCTCTCCCCCAAACTCCGCCGGAAAGGAGTCTTTGGGGACCCTGCAAGGCCTCCAGCTCCAAGAGGCTGCGCCGGCAAAGACTCATTTCTGGCGGGGTTTTGGGGGAGAGAAAGAAAGACTTCTGCGGCTCCTGCTGTTTTCCTTGCACGAAGCCCAAAGTCTCTCTCTTTCCCACCCTCCCTGAGAACAGAGCCGGAGACGGTATCCTGCAATCCCAAATAAAGAACGATCGATCGGTAGGAAAAACGGGGTGGGAGATTTTTCTGCAGGTGTTTTGGGGGCCATTTTAAATCCCGCCGGGATTTCAAATTATGAGCTTGGTGGTCCCTGAGGCCCAAAAGGCTGGCGACCCCCTGATCTAGGGCTCCCCCAAAGTCTTGCATTCTATCATTCCCCCTTTTTTAAAGGCAGCGAGTCTTACAACGGAGGACCCTTACCGTGGTTGTGTAAGCCGCATCGGGATTGTCGTCCAGGATGCGCGAGAGGCCGAAGTCCGAGACTTTGCAAACCAGGTTGCCGTTAATGAGGATATTACGAGCTGCCAGGTCCCGGTGGACGTAACCCAGATCGGAGAGATAACGCATGCCGGCGCCGATGCCCCTGAGCATGACGACCAGCTGGAGAACCGTAAATTGCCCGTCGTGTTTCTGGAGAGAGAGAAAACAAAGAAACCACGCGCGTTTTCTGGGTCATGGGCATCTCGTCAAACTGGCAACCCCTTCCTGCCCTCAGCTTCTCCGAGGAATCCGTACCCTGCAAGAGTCAGAAAGGGGACGGAGGAAAAAAACGACAGATCCCTCGCATCCTGGATATAAAAGTGTTTCAACACCCTCTGATCGCCGCTGTAGGGCAGTGCATGTCAAAACAACTAGGCATAAACGTATTTCCCTCCTCCCCGCTTCTTCACTCGGCTGAATACTTAATTCCCCGCACTTGGCTGACGAAGAATTCTGTTCCAGTCTGTTCTGTTCTATATTTTATTCCGCCTTTCTCTTCTCTTCCTAGTCTATCCTGCATTTTTCTGCATTCTATTTTGTTCCATTCCGATTCTTATTCCATTCTGCATTTTTCTGCATTCTATTGTTCTATTCCAATTCTTATTCCTATACCACTCCGTTCTCTTCTGCATTTTTCCGCATACTGTTCTGTTCTATTCTTAGTCCAGTTCCATTTTATTTGGCATTTTTCTGCATTCTATTGTTCTATTCCAATTCTAATATCCTATTCCATTCTATTCTGCATTTTTCTGTATTCTTTTATTCTTATTCCATTCTATTCTACTCTGCATTTTTCTGCATTCTATTCTACTTTATTCTTATTCCATTCCATTTTATTCTGCATCGTTTCTGCATTCTATTCTATTCTATTCTATTCTATTCTATTCTATTCTATTCTATTCTTATTCTTATTCTTATTCCATTCCATTTTATTCTGCGTTTTTCCGCAGTCTATTCTGTTCTATTCGTATTCTCATTCCATTCCATTCTACTCTATGCTGCAATTTTCTGCATTCTATTCTATTCATTCTTTTTCTCAATCCATGTCCTCCTGCCTTTCCACGGTCAGTAAAATGAGGAGCCAGATTGTTGGGGGCCAAGAGGCTGACTCTGTAAACCGCTTAGAGGGGGCTGGGAAGCCCCGGGAAGCGGGATATAAGTCTTAAGGGCTATTGCTATCTCTCCAATGTGGCCCCTCATGAACTTAAATCGATGCAAAATCCAGAGGAACAAGGTATAAAGATGAATTGGTTTTCATGTGCGCAAATACGCTCAAGGTATGATGAAGATTCTAAAACAGAGGGATTTTATGATAAACAGACGGATCTAGATAAGATTTGGACAGGTACTGATGAAAAGGTGATTAAAAAACGATACGGTTATTTACTGGGAATTAAGCTAGAGGAAGAACAAGTTAAAGAAACTATGATCGTTTGGGGGAAGAATTTTGGATATGGGATTGATTTAGAGAGAATGGCCAAAACTATGGTCGCAAAATTATAAAATGACAATGTCAACAGCTTATAAAGAAAATCTGTATAAGAAGTTTTACAGGTGGCACTTTGCCCCCGACAAGGATAGCAAGAATGTTCGAGAATAAATCTGAAAAATGCTGGAAATGTCATCTGGCGTGAAGAAATCTTACCCGGAGAAATGAATCCAGAGATCCGTTTTCCATGTATTCGGTCACAATCATCATCAATTTATCTGCAGGAGGGAAGAGAGATTAAACAAGAGAGCGGGTTATTGCAGGGATGGGATTCAAATTTTGCTAACAACCGGTTCTGTGGGCGTGGCTTAGGTGGTGGGCGTGGCCTAGGTGGTCATGTGACTGGGTGGACATGGCTTGGTGGTCATGTGACTGGCTGGGCAGGGCCAACTCAACATCACTCACATCGAGGCACGCATCTCCTCACCTGGCCTCTCATTTACTGCGGGGAGGCTGAAACAGTCGTAAGTGTGAAAAAATGGTCATAAGTCACTTTTTCCAGTGCCATTGTAACTGTGAATGGTCCCTCCACACAAGCAAAGTATCAGCAAAGGAGGGGGAAAAAACTCCAGAGAAGTTCCAGAGACAGGAAGTCTAGTCCTGCCAAGAATGTAATAAGGGTCAACGGAGAGGCAGTTTCTGTAAGCAACACCAGAATGTTTCCTTCCTGCCTTCCTTACAGGATTAGCCCAGTCATTTCCTCTAACAATCCAGTTCTCTGAACTGGTTCGGTTCGGCCTAGAACAAAATCCCAGGGATCCAATGAAGATATTTGGCGTCGGCCTCAGTTGTCTACATCTGTGAAATGGGCGCAATTGACTGGGATGAATTTTTTTGCCGGTCCCAGGCTATGGCTTGTTCCGGCTGGTCTACCACGCCCAAGAAACCCCGAATCTGCTGCGGCAGGAAATAATAACCTACTTTTGGTGACCACCCCTTCCAGATGGATAACGTTGGGGTGATCGAAGCGGGCCATGATGCTGGCTTCGCTGAGAAAATCCCGCCGTTGCTTCTCCGTGTAACCAGGTTTCAAGGATTTCACCGCCACCGGTATCTCCCTTTTCCCCGGGATCTTCAGGCGGCCGTAACAAACCTCTCCCGATTCACCTGTCCAGCGAGCAGAAAGGATTCTGTCGTTATTGCGGCGTCTATTTCTCTCTCTCTCTCTCTCTCTCTCTCTCTCTCTCTCCCTCTTCTCTCTTTCTTCTTTTTTTTTTTTTTAAAAAAAATAGTCTTTATTGAAAATGAATTTTTTAAAGAAGTCTTTGACATACATATTGGTCTTGACATTGTTATACTAATGAGAAAACGTTAAAACAAATATAAACATTTTTATATACATATTTACAGAGCCATACACATTGACATTTTCATCTTACTGTTGTTTTATATCCTAATCGTTGTGCTGCAATTCAATCACATCTCAAGATTCTTGTTAACATTTTATAGACTTCCTTTCATATCCCTCCATACATAAACAAATTTTTTTTTCCATACTTCGTAGTATTCTGAAACTTCTGTCTCTTCCAAGTCTTTTATTTTATTTATTTTCAAAATACAGGTGCAATTTACACTTTAACAGACCTGTGTCCAGCATTACAATTGTATCAATAAAATACATTTTACTTACAATTCTATTTCATATCAAAGCCAGTGGCGCGAGGGGCCAGTTCTCCAAACGGCACAGAATGGTTAAACAACCGGTTCTGTCGAACTGGTCTGAACTGGTAGAATCGGTTTCTCAACCGCGGGAACCGGAAGTCGGGAGGGACTTCAACTCCCAGAATTCCTGGCCCGAGGGTGTGTGTGTGGGGGGGTGGTGGAGGATTCTGGGAGTTGAAGTCCCTCCCGACTTCCGGCGGGTATTGAGAAATGTTGAGTTTTAAGATTCCCGGAGGGAAAAGGAGACTCACCCGAGCCGATCACCCGCTCGATTTTAATCCGGGACGCATCGATTTCACGCATGACTTCGTGGGCGGCCTGGCAGGGGTCTTCGTAGGTGTGCGAATCCAGGTAAAATTTAGACTCTGGGAATTTCACTGTGGGGAAGCAGGCGAGGAGGGGCGGAAGCAGACGAGAATGAAATCCTGCTTAAAGTCGCAACGTCGTTGCCCGTCTCAACGCCCGCCGAGGTCAACTAGTCCAGCCCTCTGCACAGCAGGCAGCAAAGCCAACCCTAACCCTCTAGGAGAGGTGGCTGAACGCCTCGATTTAAAGACCTCGACTTAACGGCCGCGTCCTTCATGGCGGTTTCTCCCCGGCCACAGTCGCACGATCAAAATGGAGACCCGGGGCAGGTGACTCACAATTATGACGGGTTTTTCCGCACTTTGTAACGACTTACCCTGCCCGTTCTGGTAATGCATTTTCTCCTCGTCAGGATCTTGGAAAGCTTTGCTGTAGCCACAGTGCCTGTTGTGGGCAGAAGCGGGACAGAGCTGTGAACGGCAGCACTCCCCTCCCTTGCTGCCCAAACCTCCTAACGGGTAAGAAAAAGGAAGGAAGGAAGGAAGGAAGGAAGGAAGGAAGGAAGGAAGGAAG